ATATGCGTTTTTGCTGCCTGTTGCAGCGCTCTAGCGCTGCACGGCAAAAACGCATAAAAATGTATTCAAAAAACTTTAAATTTTAGAGTAATTGCAAATCTCGTCTTAAAAGCGAGTGCAATAAATACGTGAGACAATCGCTGCTCCTCGTTTGTGAAAGATAACCGGTGCTCATCGTATACAGATGAGTGGTACTCAGAAAATGACCAGGCGGAAAATTTCTGATAAGAAAGCAACCCAAACAAAAAAGCTTGCCCTCAGTTTGGCATCAAAGGCATCTTAACTGAGTCCCAAACTCGAATGAATTTATTTCCGTAATCGGTGAACACGTGATTTTATGTTAAATACGTGAAACAGAAGCAAAAGAGTATGAATTCTTACATCTGGAATTCAATTAGGGGACTATTGAGCATCGCATATACAGCAGTCGAGAGTTGTTTGGTCCATGGTGGATGAGCACGTTTTGCTATGCCAATTAATGCTTCACAACGTAAACCGATGTTTGATATGCCTTCAGCCACCGCCAAGCATCGCTCGTCCCAAGGATTTGAAGATGAAACAACACCAGCATAGTTACTTGAAATTTTCTGCAAAAATTGCATTTCCTGTTTGATTTTTTTAACTAGGATGGATCCACAGGTCACGCCTCTCGCCCGCATGACTGATCTCAGCAAATTTTTTGGTTTCATAATGCTTCAACATATACAAAAAAGTTTATGTCACGAACAGAGCCCTTTCCAAAAGGGCCATAGACAGAGGTGGGAATCGAACCAGCCTCTTCCACATTCACATGAGAGTGCTATCCACTACACCACCGGCCCTCGTGTTACACCACTCGGCCCCAGCTTGGAGGCACATCTACTGTGTATCTGACTTCCAAGGCAAAATACACCTTTCTTTTCTTGGGTGATCCCAAAGGTAGTATACATGTAATAGCTTTTCTGCCGGTTTTTGGCGGATTTTCCGATAGCAACCAACTAGAACTAATAGCAATCATCTACTGACAAAGTTATTGATGTATCGCTCCTCCAAGAACCGTTTACACGCGAATTGGTAGCGTGCTAGATTCAGCATCTGCCAGTACCAATTCTTCATCGAAAAGCTTCGTTCAATGGCATGTAGAAAAATTCATTTTCCCGCCGGCAGAATTTCACCATAGACTTCCGGCCTAGTAGTAGCGATACCTACCAATACATGCTAAGCCGACTAGCTGGATTAAAAATTCACGGGGTATGGTAAACTCAAAATCGAGAGAATCCCCCGCTGTGTCGATCGTGAAAGCAAACACCATGATGAAATAGTATAATGATTAAAATACGAATGCAAAATGGCTCGAAATGTAAGCTAACCGCGGTGTAATTGTAAAGTGTACGATCCGGATCCAGCTTATATTCCTCCATATAAGGTCTCGCATATTCATCCAGGTTTCTTTTAATCAACTGCACATTTCTCACTCTTTCCAAGATCAGATAACAGATCGATTCCACCGTTTGTTCCTGAAAAAATGTTCAGTCAAACGAAAAAAGCATTGCTCTCTCCAGTAGAGGGCATCAATGATCTGAAAAATATTCGTCCGAATAACTCACACTGGTCCTCCTAAAAACTCGCACTGTTAATAACTCAAATAACTCATATTGCTCCACTGAGCATTAGAAGTTAAGGAAATTTCAGAAAATACAACGCAGAAAAAAGGAAATCACGGACTTTCAAAGACAAATTTTCGTTAGCTGGAACTTCTCACCAACCTGATAATCGTTATAACTCATTGCACATTGATAAACGTCTTTTAGTTTCACCATTTCACGTAAGTTTTTCACATACGTGTTCAAATCTCCCATTAAAGCATCGGGGTCGCTCGAATCACATCGAATCATTGATAGGGCATATGCAACATGAGCCTGAAATACATGGTTTAGAAGAAAAAAAAGTGTACGTAGGCCAAATTCTGATGCAACAACAATCTATCATAACTACTGTAAAAATGCATAATGAGCTCAGTATTTCACAAATCACGAAAAAGTTCATATTTTTGCTGTGGCAAGAAACTGGGAACATGCGGCTTCACCGAAAAAGCTATGCCTCAGTGCTGGATGTGGTTGCATCTCAATTACATCTAAACTCAAAATTGGCATATCTATCAATTACAAAAGGAACAAGTGGCAGATATGAGTAAGGGATGAGGACGGCTAATCCCCCCCTTCTTAATCCAGCTGCCCTAGGCTCACAGGTGTGATATGCAGTGTCCCGTCTTGTGACTCGAGTTTCCCGTTATGATATAAAAACGGTATGATGAAAATTCATATTTCGGTGTGCATATACAGTGCTGTGAGACTGCAACGGTTGCTACTGCCGAGTGATTCCCGCGAGCGCGCCCAACAACGTTCTTTCCAGATTTTGTGTTTTTATTCGTTTTTTTAAGGAAAAATAAAGTATTTTTTCTTGAAAGTTCTCAAACTCTCAATACTCTCAAAATTTTCACAAAGGCTCCCATAGTTTTGAAAGTTCGCACATTCAGTAACAACGTTCTTCCTAGATTTTGTGTTTTTATTCGTTTTTTTTTTAAAGAAAAATAAAGTATATTTTTGTTTTCGAAAGTTCTTACACTGTAAGTATTCCCAAAATTTTCACAAAGGGTTCCGTAGTTCTGAAAGTTCGCACATTCAGCAACTGCGATAGTTTATTTGGCCAAAAATTCTGCCACCCTTAACTCGTTACGTTCAATGATTTTTTGAAAACATATGGCATGTTAGCCTACACAATTCAGTTTAGGGCACAGTCCCAATGTGATAGAAGAACCAGCTTCTTGAATATGCATTCGCTCCGCCGTCGGTTTCAGTTCTTCAACGCAAAATACTTTGATGGATAGTCCCGAAGAAAGAAAACAGGCAAGATGGATATCCTTCCCGAAAATGGTTATGGAACTTTATCATATCTGGATGCAACTTGTTAATCCATTGCCCCCTATGCTCCATGATCAGCGTGGGAACAATATCTGCTCTCTAGGTCCGCCTTTTAGATCAGAATTTCATGCTGAATTTACGCAAGGCAGAAATTTAAACTGAATTTATGCAAAAAAAAGAAGGACCTGATAGGAGGGAGATTTAGAAGAATTAATTAGATTTTGGATAACGCGTTCCATTGTTGATGCAATTTGCAGCGAATTTCCAGGAAATTTCTGTGGCTGCTTT